CTTTCTTCCAAATTTCTTGGCATAGATGAGTGAGTGCCTCCAGTGCTGCATCAGTTTGTTGAAAGATTTCAATTTGTATGCCATTTCAATTTGAGCATTGTACCAATACTGTATTTATAATGTATATTATATGTGTGTGTACCCATGCATACATATACACATATGTTTTCACTCAATCCTTAAAATGACTTTATGAAGTACATACTTCACATATGAGAAAACAAAGGTTCAGAATGATTAAATAGCCTCATGAAATGTGGAACGAGGGATATCATTGCTGATTTCAGATGTTGTCATTAGGTGCCTTTGATTCAGTTCTGACTCATAACAACCCTGGATAGGGTGTCTGAGGCTTCAGATCTTTGCAGGAACAGAAAGCCTCATATTTCCCCTACAGAGAAGCTGACAGGCTCCAACTGGGGACTTTGTGGTTTGTAGGCCAGGGCTTATCATATGGAACCATCGCAATCCCCAATATCAGATGGAGCTTAGCTAAAAGCAGAGTAGACCAGAAAGATGTTTGACTACGCAAAGGCATTCAACTGTGTGGATTATAACTATGGATAACATTGCGAAGAAAAGGAATTCCAGAACACTCCATTATGCTCATGAGGAACCTGCACGTTGACCAAGAGGCAGTCATTCAAATAGAACAAAGGAATACTGAGTGGTTTAAAATCAGAAAAGATATGGGCTAGGGTTGTATTCTTCCACTATATTTATTCAATCTGTATTCTAGGCAAATAATCAGAGAAACTGCACTATGTAAAGAAGAACATGGCATCAGAATCAGCAATAGACTCATTAATAACCTGTAATATGCAAATAACATAACCTCACTTGCTGGAAGCAAAGATAAGTTGAAATGCTCACTGATGAAGATCAGACTGCAGCCAACAGTATGGATTGTAGTTCAATGTAAAGAAAATTAAAATCCTCACAACTGAACCACAAAATATCATGATAAATGGAGAAAAGATTGAAATTGTCAAAGACTTCATTTTGCTTGTATTCACAATCAACACCCATGAAAGCAGCAGTCAAGAAATCAAAGGACATATTTCATTAAGCAAATCTGCTGCAAAAGACATCTTTAAAGTGTCAAAGAGCAAAGAGATCACTTTCAGGACTAAGGTACA